AGCAGGTCGAGGCTGCAGTGGCCGGGAGCGGCCACTGAACTCCAGTCTGGGCAACAGAGTAAGACTTGGACTCAAAAAAAAAAAGAACTGGTGAATCTCATGGGTTAAATGTCAGAGGTCAGAGGCTCCCGGGAGAACCGCCCCCTGCCCCTCCTACCTGCATGCTAGCTTCTCTGCTGCCCGCCCCTTCAAGGATTCCCATGACCACACTGGGCCGGGTCACCCATCCTTCTCCAAGGTCAGCTGACAGCAGCCTTGACTCCCCTTCGCGTTGCTGAGGGACACATCTGAGGGCCCCACAGGATCAGAATACGGACACGTCTGGGGTGAGGGGCACTGCTCTACGAACCACAGTTGTCCTGTGGCCCCGAGTTTCGCATCCGTCCCACACGCAGACCGCACTCCCGCCATCCTAAGACCCCACAAAGTCGCCACCCGACACAGCCCCCACCTCAGAAAAGCCCCAGATCTCACCACTAAGTCGTGGGTGGGATCGGGATAGGCTGCTCTCTCTCTGTGGGCCGGGGAGACTGGAAAGCACGGGCTGTGCCTCCAGAATGCGACGGCAGGACAGTCACGCAAGGCCAGTTACAGACCTTTGTGTCTTAAAAGGAGAAAATGGGGCTGGGCGTGGTGGCTGTGCCTGTAGCCCCAGCTACTCGGGAGGCTGAGGAGGGAGGACTGCTTGAGCCCAGGAGGTTGAGGCTGTGGTGAGCTACGTCACACCACTGCATTCCAGCCTGGGCGACAGGGTGAGAGTCTCCGAAAAGCACACACATAAACACAAGGAGAAGCCGGGCTCCGGTGGCTCAGCCTGTAATCCCGCGCCTTTGGGAGGCTGAGGTGAGTGGATTGCCTGAGCCTGCGGGTTCGAGACCCGCCTGGGCAGCGAGACCTCATCTCTACAATAAATCAAAAAATCAGCCGGGTGTGGTAGCGCATGCCTGTAATTCCGGCTACTTGGAAGGCTGAGGCGGAAGGATCACCGGAGCCCAGCAGGTCGAGGCTGCGGTGGCCGGGAGCGGCCACTGCACTCCAGTCTGGGCGACAGAGTGAGACTCCAACTCACCAAAAAAAAAAAAACACAAGGAGGAAACTCAAGGTTCTGAGAGATTCCGAATCTCGCTGGGCAGACGCTCTTGGGTAGCACAAGGCTCTTGGGGCAGGGCCAGTCCCTGCACCCGTCCTCTGCCCTCTGGCTCGCCCTTTGTTCACGAACATGCGAGTGTCTGAGGTGAAGGGCCTTTTCCGTAACAGCTATGGGGTCTGACACCTTCCACATCACCCCTCGGTCCCTGCCAGCCCATGCCAGAAGGGGTCTGATGACACTGAGTCCTCAAGAGCTTGTCAGGTCTCTGTGTTGAGCAGAGATGCGCTCCTTGTCTGTGGACCCCACAAGGTCACCTTTGCCCTGCCCTCCCTTCTGCGTGGATGGCAGAGGGTGTCTGGCTATGCAGCCCATCTCCCCCAAAGTCTGGGGTGACCGGCACTCTGGCCCTCGCATCTCCGAGGCACTAGTGAAAGACTGGTTGGCTACCCCTGGCCACGCGTGTTCCTGACCGCAACGATTCGAGCGTCTTCTGATAGCCTCGATCATCCTGGGTCAGCTCCCTGCACTTACCACGTCCCCTCCCTGTGCCCGGCTAAGCCTCACGCCACCAGAAGCAGGGAAGCCAGACTACACTGCCAGCCCAGAGCCAGGATCTCAGCGGCCAAGGCGCTGGCTCCCGGGGCCCCCGGGGAAGACTGCAGCCACGCCTTCTGCTGCCAGGCCTCCGCCACCAGGCCTCCACCATCTCACCTTGCCAGGCAAAGTCCAGGCACACAGCCTTCCACACCCCCAGCCCTCACCCACCAGCCATTTCAGGAAATCGAGGTTTTTCTACCGCAGCCGTCAGAGTTCTCTAGCCCCTGCCTGCGCCCAACTTCAAAGCCAGCCCACGCGTTTTGCTTTGTGACCTCGGCACCCACTCCTGGGACCAAACCTGCATTTGCTCCCTGCTGCTGTGCTTACCCACGCTTGGTAGCTGGCAACAAGGCCAACTCGGCATCTCACAGCTAGGCACGCCAGGCACCCAGCACGGTCCTGCAGGCAAAAACCAGCGCGAGATCACCGGCGGCTCCTTCTGGAGCTCAGGGGAGAGCCGCCTTGTCCCGCTCAAGCTCTAGGAGTGGCCCACACCGCTGGCATGTATCTCGCTGACACCTGTGCCAGGTGGCGGCTCACAGTTCGCCTCTGGGTCCTTCCCTGTGAAGGGTGATGTGACAACACGGGGCCACCGCCTGGGTTTTCGGGAGCCTCAATGCCAGCCACAGCTCCCCTATGTTCACAGGGTCTCGGGGTCAAGGCCCCAGTGACCTTGGGGCCACTGTTCCTCCTGGCAAAACAGAGACCGGAAAACGGGAGGCCGAGGCTCGGGAGGGTGGAGGGTAGGAACCACCAGGGGCAGAGCTGGGACTCAGCCCCAGTCTACCTGCGTGAGTTAAGCCTCACCCCTTCCCTGTACGGACAGGGAAACTAAGGCAGAAGCAGGAAGGCTTCCCAAGCAGGCCAGGACTCCACAGGCCTTGCAACAAGGCGCTGTCCCCGGTGCACGCATGGTTCTACCTCTCGTGCGCAGAGGCGTGAGGCCCCCCACGACCAGCGCTGGCCCTTATCCCAGCTGCCCTCCTGCCCCAGGGGGCTCTAAAGGCCAGCACTGTGCCCAAGGCCCCAAGTGCCCTGGGACTCCACAGCTCTTCCTGTCAGCCAACGTGACACCTCCCTACTTCTTCTCAGGCCCCACCACCCACGGTTCCAGCTGGAGACCCGGCGTTCTTCTGGCGCCTCCAGCCCCACCGGCCAGCCACAGAGCCCGCTGCCCGCTGCACCCTCCCTTGGCCCCACCAGCTTGCAGGCACCCTGCTGCTCCCGGAACATGCAGGCCTAGCTGTGTGCCGGGGCTGCGCCCTGTGGCCTCGGCCTGGAGCCCAGCGCCCCACACGGCCCCAGCGGGCCACAGCCTCCACGCCATCCGCTCTAGCCACCCTCGGCACCCAGCCCCTGCAGTCACGTGCCGTGGGCATCCCAGGACCTCCTCGGAGGGGATCCGTGCAGAGAGCTGGGAGACGTGGGGTGGGCCGCCGCCGGTGGGGGCGAGCCTGGGTCTGCTGGGAAGGCACACGGTCAGCCCCAGTCGAGCCACTGTGTAGCCCAGGGTGCAGGAGACAGCGGGGGCCCTCATGAGGGCAGGCGGCAGGGCCAGGCTGAGACCCTCAAGTGTGCCTGGAGGCTCTGAAGAGCCCAGAGCGCGAAGCACATTTCCAGGGAGCCGAGAGAAGGCTGCTGGGAAGGTCTGGGAAAAGGCAGGGGGCTAGTCCCCGGAACCGCAGCGGGCAGGGAGACCCCGGAAGGGCACCAGCAGCCCGGAGGCAGAGACAGGGGAGGAAGGCCCCGGGGGCCACGGACACACTGTGCGGGCTGAGCCCAAGGGCCCAGGCGGCCTGCACTCAAGGGACCCGCGGGGGGTTGGGCACCCCGGAAAGCAGCCGGGCACAGGCGCACAGCGGCCACGGGGTCAGGGCCTGCAGTGCCCAGCCTGCATCCACCAGCCCCGCCCCGCCCAGCTCCCCTCCCTGCAGCCCGCTGGGTCCTGGATCTGCTCCAGCCCCCACGGCACATGCCCACCCCTTCCCATGCTGAGGATGTGAACCTGCTTCCCTGGGCCACGCGGCCTCCAGAGTGACCCCTGCATCAGGGCCCTGACTCAGGCTGGCCAGGAGCCCTCCAAGACACCCCGGCTGACTGCAGCCACCCCGGAGGGTCCCACCTCCGGCCCGGGGGGGTGGTACATGGTCAAGGCAGCGGGATCAGTGACACCAGACAAACACGCCCACGTGGCGCCCGGCAGGCGACTGTGGACATGGGGGGAGGCCAGCGCAGGTGCCATGGGCACGTGCCCACTCCAGGACGTCGGCCTGGGGCTGCCCACGGGGCAGGGGCGCGGCCGCCGAGACGCCGAGACGCACACAGGCTCTGACCTGAGAGAATCCGTTTTATTTCGCGTGAACAGACCAACTAAGGTAAGCGAGTCCCGGCCTCCCGCGGACAGGCGCCGCACGGGGCCTCGGAGCGTCCCAGCCCGCCCGGGGACGCCCGTGGCTCTCCGGCGTCCAGGAGCAGCAGGCAGGGTGGCAGGAGCAGGCAGCG